ATAAAGAATATCCCTTTGGATTTGAGACTTTAGTCTTTACAACTTTACAGATCTTCTTTATGCACCAAGAGCTTGTAACACTCCAAAGAGAAAGGAAAAAATGAAATCGCATCATATGACCCCTTTAAGCCGATTCTTGAAGATGGCTAAGGACTCAGCTGCTAGGATTGAGTTGGGCAGGTCATCCCAGCAGGAGGGAACAGTTAATGTGCATTTAATGAGTGTGATGTGTTGATTGTGTGTTGTTCAGCTCTGGACAGGCAGGCGGCGTCGCTGATCGAGTGTTAGCTCAGCTGCTGACGGAGATGGACGGAATCGAACAGCTAAAAGACGTCACGGTTCTCGCCGCAACCAACCGACCTGATATGATTGACAAGGTAGGACTGATCCACACACACACACACACACACACACACACACTGGCAATTTTTGAATTTCGTAAAACACCGTTTTGTATGTTTTTTAAGCCTTTTGTTTTACGGGGACATAGGAAGTGTCCTCATAAACCATGTTTACGTTGTAGTACCCATGTCATTATACACAATAAACCAAACAATAAACCTCATAAACCATATATACCAGTACACACACACACACACACACAGGATGATGACAATGCTGAATTTCACTCAGGAAGGGAATGAAACGGTTGGACACACACACACACACACACACGTTTCCTCCTGCTGGGTTTGAGAGCTTCCACTTCCTGCAGTCAGAGGCTCACAGCAGCTGTCACTCATCCTGATTGACAGCTCCTCCGTCAGTCTCAGACCCCCTGCGGGACCGACCCATCCCACACACACACACACACACACACACACACACACACGGCCTCATTTGAATCTCACACAAGCAAATGGAGAGGACTGTATCTTATTATACCTCAAAACAGTTGGATATTTCAGTCATGGCCATTGGTTTCTCTCAGTCTCTGTGAGCTGCTCGGAAAGGCTCTTGAGGAAAGAGACACATCCATTTGTCTTGGTTTCATATTATAGGCCTCTGTGTCTCTTTCTTATTGAGTCGCACCTGATTCTCTGCGTCTGTCATCGCGGCTTTGACACATCGGATGCGGATTAAGACAGATATCAGATTGATTTATATCTCCGCTGGCGTCGGCGTCTTACGTAACTTCGGGAGAATAAAATAACTGTCAGACAAACATCGATAGATGATTCGGGCTCAGCTGTGCGGAAGCCAGACTAACTACTGCTGGACTCATTTAGCTGCTGCTTTCATACAAAGTGTCTCACAGGAAACAATAATGACATTTCAGAGGGTTTGAACCTTAAACCTTTAGCTCAGATCTTTAAAGTTCAGCACCAAATCTTTAAACTCAG